GAGTTGTTTTTTTAAGTTTTATAATTTTTTACTAATAGCCCCCAATGAAGGACATTTTCCAACAAAAGGATTCTCTTTTTAAACAACTAGTACAAATTTTCATTTCTGAGCCATTGCTTTTACTGCTGAGTTGTGTGTGTAAGTGATGGTGTGTGTGCACGGGGTGGGATAGATAAGATTATAAATGCTCTTTTTTATGGCCTGAAATAAGTTGGGGGTGTTGTTTTTTTTTCTTTCGGGAACATTGAAGAAGGTTTTGTTTTGTTTTGTTTTGTTTTGTTTAACATTTTATTAGGGGCTCATATTATTAGTTATCCCAATCCATACACACATCGATTGTGTGAAGCGCATTTGTACATCGTTTCTCAAAACTAAGAAGGTTTTTTTACTATTCTTTTTAACAGGTATGCACGTGTGTATGTATATTTAAATTGTTTAGGCCTGCACCGCCATCCTGTTAGGGATGCTGTGAGCTGGGCAGAGAGTTAAACCTTGCTCGACTTTGGTAATAAAAGATTGTTGCCCTTAAAAAAATAATAATAATAATAATAATCCATAACCTTACAGCATGAATAGCTTATCTTTATCTAAAGCATTTAAATAAACATTGCTTGAAGATTGTGCTCATATTCCTTTTTTTTTTTTTTTTAACAGAGTGGAGCAAAAGTATAAATGTCTGACAATACCAAAAGTAGGAGAAGACTTGAACCTTTTATAAACTCAGAGTGAAATTGGCACAATCACTTTGGGAAACAGTTCAATGACAGTGAAGTTAAAGTATCCCATATCCTTCCAGACTTTTTTTAACAGCATCATTTATGAAAAACAAAATTAAAGGACATATTAAAAGAGTGCAATGTACCAACAAGACACAGAAACAGCAGCAGCAGAACCAGAAGGCTGGTGGGGTCAGAATTGGAAAGTTTGCAAAGCAGAATAATGTTGACCTCTACCCCAAAGGAAGCAGCTTTAGCTGATCCTTATGAAAGAAAACATTTTTATTAGATAATAGATGGATCATGCTGACAATGACTCACTCATCAGTTTTAGCACCAGAAAAAGGGGAACCGG